CTCAGCGCGCTAGTCTGGACGCTCCCCTGCCGACATCAAAGCCCTTTGTCGGCAGCCCCGTTATTCCTCGTGGGATGAGGTTTACCGGGGCTGCCGACAAAGGGCTTTGATGTCGGCAGGGGGGCGTCCAGACTAGCGCGCTGAGCCGGCAAACAACTGATGTAAATTTAAATGAAGCGGTGATTATTTAAATCGCTGCTTCATTTCCCTTTGCCTACAACCCTCATCTACATGGCTCCATTGATGGAGCCATGTAGTCTAGACACAGCCTTCCAGAAAAGCTTCTTCTGAAAGAAGCCTGCAGTCTAGATGTAGCCCCTGGGAGACCATGCATCATGCTGGGTCAGAGTGACTGTCCATCTAGCCCAGTAGACAGACTTGATCATCGCCAATGCCAGATGCTTCAGAGGGAATGAATAAAACGGGGCAGTTATCGAGTGATCTGTTCCCTGTTGCCCAGTCCCAGTGTCTGACAGTCAGAGACTTAGGTGTTCCTAAGCATGGGCTTGCGTCCCTGCTGAGTTTAGCTAATAGCCACTGATTTTCCCTGAATATATCTAATGATTTTGCTAATCCAGTTACACTTGTGGCCTTCACAGCAAGCCCTGGCAACGAGAGCCACCAGTTGACTGTGTCTTATGTGAAGTTGTACTTTCTTTTGTTTGTTTTAAACTTTTTGCCTGTTTCTTTCAATGTGTGACCCCTGGTTTTTGTGTTATGGTAAGGGGTAAATTAACACTTAGTCTCTTTCTTTTTCAATATTGGAGATGTTTTGCCTCACCCAGGCAATGAAGAATCAGCTTGGGTGCAGGGAAGAAGCAGCAGCAGATAGATAAAGCACTAGAAGAATCTAGCGGCCAGTCATCCCATGGGGAGTGCATGTAGAGCAGCTCTTGGGGTGGGAGGTTTCAATCTCGCTCTCATTGAACTTGCTGGCTATTAGTGCTTAGCGAAGCTCGGTGAATTTCCCCCTTAAAAAGTAGCCATGTGCATTTGTTACGAGCTGGCATCAAGGACAATGAATATCCAGACTTGGCAGCATCCCAGTAAAGAGGAAATAATGCCCAGGCACCAGCATTATGTTGGTGGCCTTGTACTCCTTTGGGGAGATGGGAACGGAGAAGCTAACAAACGTCCGCCTAATGGATCAAACAGAATGGAAAGAGAATAAGCTATCAGGGTTGATTTTGTTTATCGAAGGGGAAGGGGGAGGGGCAGGAAAATGCGGTTAGCAGAGATTCAAGGACGTATTTTAGTAGGGATAATGATTGAAAGAGTTTATTATTTGTCTCTTTAAACACTCATATAAATCCCCTGCTATTGCTTTGTGTCTCATAGGTATTTGTGGTCACTGTTTGGCACATAGAGCTGTACATGGTGCCCCTGGCTTTGTTGCTGCTCTTTGCTTACAACTGTTCCCTGATCACAACCGGGAAGGTCAGCAGTGCCCAAGACACCCAGGCAAGTAAAGTAACATTAATGTTTCAGGGCCAATTGGAATCCGCCTTGGAGCAAAAATGATCTTACGGTTTACTGGTTTCCAGCTAGTTCTATATATATTTCTAGGTTCCTGTTAAAAAGAAAATAATGTTCTCCAGAATGTTGTGGTTCATTTCCTGTCATAAACCATTGTGGGACAACACTTACAGCTCTTAAACTAACTGCAAATTTTCAAAATCTAAGAATGGGATAGAACTAATGCTTTGGATCTTTTACATTGCAAGGAGGCATGATTTGAACCCCCAGGTCCATATCTAGTCCTGCAGTTTATTTTTCAGAAATTTCTGGGGCTGAGGAAGGCCAACAAAGCCTCAAAAGGGAGGTCAATTTTTAAAAATCTATTCCATGAAATCGATATCCTCCTCATTTTATTTTTACCGTGACTTTAAAAAGAAAAACAAAACTGCTCTAACCCATCTCGATTTCAGTTTTATATCTGATTTTTTTTTTAAATAAAATTATTTTCTATGCAAAAATAAATTGGAGCATGGAACTCTGTTATGATATGAAATGTCATTTTTGTGATATTAATGTTAGCACTGTCCTGACATGTTATACATAGCACAGGTCCTTAATGTTAGAAAGAATTCAAGTAAATTAACACCTAGAAGATTCTGTTTTAAACCTTCTAATAATGCTGTTAATGAAATCTTGGCAAATGCTCTTCTTGAAATTTGCCTAGAAAAGCACTGTCATTTGTACAAGCAAAAAGCAATTTAATATAGTGCAAGCACATGGAGACCTTGGAATAAATGCATCCCAGAACCAAAGTGTAGACAAAAATCATTTTAGTCAGGTAAATTGTTCCTAGTGAAGTTTTGAGTCATTCCCAGGTAGAAAGTAGTTACAAAATGATGAAAATCACATTTCCAGTAGCAAGCCACGCTACAGTTTTCTGGCCATTTATCCTCCTGTTAATCTGCTAATCTCCAATATCAGTAAAGTCTAGAGTATTCATAAACGTATAGTGTGTGTTCCCCTAGCCCTTTATTCCATCACCAAAATAGGAATTTCCCACTGGGGAGAATCCAGGACAAATAGTTTATTAAATATGAAGGATAATCTATAAAACAACGTTGAGTCGGACAAACCAGATAAAGCCAGGAAAGTGTAGAGTTAATGGCTGCAGCTGCCCATCATTCATTCAGTGATGAGTGTGTTGCATCCCCTAGCAAACAGAATCCCACTGAAATCTGTGCTGTGCTTGTGATGGATACCACAAAGTGCCATGTATATACAGCTGAAAAGTACAGAATAGCTTTTTTTCAGTAAGGAGTCTGATTAATCAAAAGTTGGTCACTTCCCCTATACATGCAACTTGGGAGTAATCCACACCATATGTGCATATAGCAGTGCCATTGAACTCAGTAGGACATTCTCCAGTGAGGGGAGTTACACACGTGCACTCAAGTGTTTTGCTGGATTGGAGACTTATTGAGCCTCTAGCTAGTCAAAGCATCTTTAATATCCTGGAGTCTGTTTCTGGTACCCAGATTCTGAGCTTTGCGAATTCCAACACTGTATCGCCCTTGTAGCTCAAAATAAGTATTATGTTCTGAGTTGCATAATCTCTGGGTGAGAGGAGGTTAGCTGCCCCTTTTTGGGGACGGCTAGACAACACTTGTTTTTTGGAAAAAGCTATTCTGATTCTTTTGTTAGAGGTGGGGGGGGAGGAAAGGGAGCAGAAGCTGGTGTTGGGGGGAGCCCTATTAAAAGCCACTTCCCCCCGCCCCCTCCAGCACCATCTCTGCAGGAGGCAGGGGAGTAGTGGGGACTGGGTGCAAGCCGGGAATCAGCTGATGCTGCACCTTTGCTTTTTAAATGTATTAAGAGCCTACTGGCATTTAAAAGTCTGGTAAGCAGTGCGGGGACCCAGCACAAGCCAGGAATCGGCTGTCCTGGCTCACATTGGGTCCTCCCTGATGCACTTCAGCCTTTTAAAGGTATAAGAGCCTACCAGCTCTTAATACCTTTAAAAAACAGTGCCACCGAGGGGTTAGCTTCTAGGGACGGGAGCTAACCCTACTGCAGCTCCCTTGCTTATCGACTAATTGAGTAGTCGATGGAAAATCCATCGACTAGTTGATTAAACTAAATTTAACATCCCTAGTTTTAAATATTGGAATATGGTAATTCAAAGCTTCCTATTAAATAAGCAAGGTCTAAATTAACGTGGAGGATCCTGTTAAAGGCTCAGTTAGTAAAATGCCTGAATTGAAAGCCAGGGGTCCCGAAGTTCACATTCTAGCCAAGTGTTTTGTTTTCTTCCGCACTTGTCAAAGTGGGAGTCAGACTGAAGGAATAATGCTGGATGTGATTCCTGAGATTGATTATGTTCATACTAATGTATTTTCTACTGTCTAATGTTTCAGTAATGGCCCTAAAGGGAGAGAGCAGTCATTGTAGCACTGAGGATAGAACAAACTGAGTACAGAATCTTCAGCCTTGACATACCAACTGGTTCATTTATCAGACTAAGAACAAAGCTGTTTATAGACACTAGAAATTGGCAATGAATTTAAAAGCGTGTTGCCTTCAGACTGCTGGGCCCAGCCACTAATACCTCTATGTAGGCTTAAAATTTGCATAGGTTGTTGCATGCTGTCATTTATGATCTTGAGGGGGGAAAGGCCTTGAACATAGAGAAAATAAAATAAAAGTGGGCATTTAAAAATGGTTTACAATGGAATGTAGCAAATGAAATGTGGTAAGAATTACATAAATGGTTTTGAAACTCTACTGCCAATGAAGAATGTAATGTGGAAATATGTTTTTCAGGAGACCACTTACCTAGATGAAGATGAAGAGGAGGATGACAAGGTAAGTGTGTTATATGTAGCTACATGAGCTAGGGTTAAATAATGCAACTGATACAATCTTATTTCAGGAGATCATGGTTTATATGCTGCACGGGCTGGTTGAGGGCTAGAAGGGTGGTTTCTATTAATGATGGACAAACCTGAGAATATCTGAGGTTTCATTTGGATAAGCATGCAAAACGTGGATGCCTATCTGAAGCTTATACAAATTTATGTTCCTTTGGAGGCCCCAAAAGTATGCTAGAAATCATGGGGAAAACAGGTTCTTTGGTACAATATTTCTTAACAATTCCAGGTCCGATCTCAGATGGAAAATCTACATGAATAACATTTCTTGTGGGATTGAGGCATTTCCAGTTTTGTCCAAGTTGGAGACCAGAAGTTCTGAGATTTGTGAAGGAATGGAAAGAGTTAGCTCAATGATATGTTGGTTTTAACTTGGCTCCCAAAATGTACAAAGGATTGTGGTTTGAGAGAGGTGCCCTTTAGTTTATCTGAACATACTTGTTCATCCTCTCTCTTCACTAAGAAAAATACATCTTCTCACCTCTTTATCAAGCCAAGATGACAAATGATTAAAAGGATTAGAAGGCATGACATATGAAGAAAGATTAAGAGAAGTATATACATCTTACAAAAACATAACTGAGTAAAGGGCAATCTAATAGCTTATAAGTACCTGAGAACTAAAAGGTAAGGAATTATTTAATGAACAACAGCTAGAAAAAGAAATTTGGATATTAGGGCATAAATATTCACAAAGTTATGTGCAACTTACAACATTTCATTGTAATCTAACATGCTATTGCTTGAATATTCGATAGGTTGATAACACTTTAAGCTGAAATTGTTAACTGTTTAGTACTAAATCAAAGACTTTAGTTAGTATACAAAATCTTAACATTACCACTTGTGTACATTAAGATTAGACCTAAACAAGCTATTTGCTGGAAACAACTTCTTTAAACGTACTTTACCTTCATGTTAAATTAAAAAAAAAAAACTGAGCAGGATTCTGTGAGAGTCCTGGTCTACACTAGGACTTTATTTCAGAATAATCCCCCCCAGGTCAGATTTATACACCCCCCCTCATGTCAAATTTATTAGCAGAGCATCCACGCTACCACACCTGTTATTCTGAAATAGCGGGCATTTCGAAATCTATACTCTGGCTTTTCTCAGGGAATAATGCTAATTTTGAAATAGTTATTTCGAAATAACAGTAGTGTGGATGCTCCAGTGTGGCTGTTTCAAACTAATTACTCCCCAGTGCTTCCTGGGGCTTAAGTCTGAGGTAGCCCATCCCATTAACGGAGTCTGCCTTGGACTAATTTCGAGGCTTCCCCATAGTGTGGACACACTAGTTCGAATTTGTTAAATTGGGAGTTAAATTGAATTCACTAATTTAAAAATAGTTTTCTAGTGTAGACATGGCCTTAGAGTTTTATACAGTTACTAGTTATTATTTAAAACTGTGTAACAGGTTAGTTATTTTAGCTTGTGGATTCTCTCACTTCAAGTTTTGTCATTTATAATTCATTGTTTACACTCTGAGATAGGAAAAAAACCAACAACGTTTGACCAAAGTGAACGATCCTAAAGCGAACAGGAATCTTCCTTGGTGGTCATTGAACACTTTTGTTGCTAATATTTGTGCTCAGAGAATATTTGTATGATGTTCCCAGAGTAATTATTCTTCTAACCAAAAGTTCCTGTGCGCATATGGAGTATAGGAGCCTCTTCTATCCTTTGAGCTACAAGTCAGCTGGCTCTCAGCCCATGCTGTAGAGGTCTCTTGGGGTATGTCTAGAGTACATGCCTCTGGCGACAGAGGCATTAGATTAGGCTACCCGGCATAGGAAAATGAAGCGGTGATTTAAATAATCGCCACTTCATTTAAATTAAAATGGCTGCCACGCTGAGCCGATCAGCTGTTTGTCAGCTCAGCGCGCTAGTCTGGACACTCCGCGGTCAACATCAAAGGCATTTGTCGACCACCCTGTTATGCCTCGTGGGATGAGGTTTACTGGGGCGATCGACAAATGCCTTTGATGTCGACCACGGAGCGTCCAGACTAGTGTGCTGAGCCAACAAACAGCTGATTGGCTTAGCGCAGCAGCCATTTTAATTTAAATGAAGCGGCGATTATTTAAATCACCGCTTCATTTTCCTATGCCGGGTAGCCTAATCTAATGCCTCTGTCGCCAGAGGCATGTACTCTAGACATACCCCAAGAGACCTCTACAGCATGGGCTGAGAGCCAGCTGACTTGTAGCTCAAAGGATAGAAGAGGCTCCTATACTCAGCTTCAGAGGTCCCAGGTTCAAATCTGCCTAGTAGCAGTTACACCGACATTTACAGAAAATGAATAAAGGGGTTGGGGCTAGGCCCCCTTGACACTGCCTGGAGAGAGCTATGCTGCTCCTAGCCATTAGTGTTGCCTGGAGCATGGTATGCAGCACTCTAACAGTGACTTAAAGGACCCCCAGCTTTGGACCCTTTCATATTGCTGGGGCAACTGGCCACTTTGCTCCTGTGTTGGTGGATCTGAGTTTTGTGCTAATGTAACTACACTGACTCTTATAGGCTTGTGGTGATTTTGCACTGAGATATGAGTCCAATACTCTGCATTTTGCACTTCTCCAAACTTGACCTTTTCTTTTTTTTTAACCGCTTGGGGTTTGGAATGCTCTTGAGAGAAAATGTTCAAATGTTATTTCAAAGCACCATGATGCTGTGGTCTGTGTTGCTACTAGACCTCATTGCTATGTACATTGCATGCTCATGATAACTTGCAACTGATGGAAATGGGTGAAGCTTTTCATAGCAGAAGCAGCTGCTGTGCAAACTCTGTTATTACAATATCAAGCACCCATCACCATATTACTTCATAGCTAATTGCACTAAAAACTCTAATAGAGGTTACATGTTATGGTTAAAGTGAGCCCCTTGCATGGCTATTCTGTCAGGTTTACCCTTCAATGGAAATTGCATGTGTGCATTGAGAAAAGCCTAGATCGTTAAATACCTTTAACTAGGCTCAGTGTCTTCATAGTGTGGTTGTGCTAGGGGTGGTCAGAACACCCTTGTGAGTTAAAGAAAAATGAGTTAGATGACATTATCTCAATGCAATGTCTGCATTGAAAAGAAAAATATACATTTTGTTTCCTAGTACAGGAACTTCTAAAGTTGAAATCTGCTAGTAGGGACATGGTATACAAGGTCACTGTTTCTGTTTCCTGTCATTAATGTGTTGTATCAAAATACTCGCACACATAGCTCTTCTGGATTCTGTTGCATGTTAGACATAACAGACCGTGCTTCTGGGAACTGTAACATGACCCCTGAGAGATGAACTGTTTACAAATTATAAACACACAGACGCTAAGTTCAAAAACAGAAGAGCAGATTAACTCCCTTCCACCTAAACGATCAGTCTTGAAAATGACAGGGCTTAATTGCTAGCTCCTCCTTTTCCCCCCAAATGCCGACACAGAAGACTGTGAAAGATAAGAATGCTTCGTCCCTTTGGCATAGTCTGCTCAATGGATGAATGCCTTTTCGGATTCTTGCCATCTTGGATGCAGATTTCAGACTGCATCATGTCAATTCTGGGGTCTGTCAGGATATAGCTGTCTGGAGCAGGGATTGTTTTAAAATTACATCACTAAGGCATCTCTCCCCCCCAGTACACAGATATAGGAGAGTGAAATACAGCGCACAACATAGCCGATCATTGTCTTTGTTCTCCCTATTTCTTTCAAACAATGGCTGTAGTGCTTCAAGGGTAGATAGCATCCTCCTCAACAAGGGTATGTCTACACTAGCTCGGTAGTTCGAGCTACGTAGGCAAATGAGGGCAACCGGAGTTGCAAATGAAGCCCGGGATTTAAATATCCTGGGCTTCATTTGCATCTTCCCAGGCGCCGCCGTTTTTAAATCCCCCTTAGTCTGAACTCCGTGCCCGCGGCTACACGCAGCACAGGGTAGGTAGTTCGAATTAGGATCTCTAATTCGAACTACTGTTACTCCTCGTGGATGCAGATTTCAGACTGCATCATGTCAATTCTGGGGTCTGTCATGACGTGGAATGAGGAGTAACAGTAGTTTGAATAAGAGATCCTCCGGAAAAGGGCTTTATTCCGGAGGATCGCGCCAGTCTAGACGCTTTTTTCCGGCTTTTCCCCAAGCCGGAAAAAAAGCGGCGGACATGTTTATTTAAATCCGCGGGGGATATTTAAATCCCCCGCGGATTTCCCTATTCTGACTTACCTGCTTTGCATCCCTTTTCCGGAATTTGGGGCCAGTGTAGACGTAGCCAGGGGGATTTAAAAATGGCGGCGCCTGGAAAAATGCAAATGAAGCCCAGGATATTTAAATCCTGGGCTTCATTTGTAACTCTGGTTGCCCTCATTTGCCTACCTAGATCAAACTACTGAGCTAGTGTAGACATACCCCAAGGGATTTTTATACTCCTTTGGAAAGTGGAATCTTTCATGGCCTCAGGTTGTCAGGACCTTTTGTTTCTCTTTTCCTCCAAAAGAGACAAAGCAAAGTAGCTCCTAATAGCAAGTTTGCTTTGCACATTGGTGCAGCAGAAACTCTGAGGAAGGATGATCAAGTGATTAGGGAAATAGCAAGGAGATGACCCTAGAACTATGCCAAAGCCTTCCTGCATGATAAGTCTTTTACCTTCTGTGTCTCCATTCCCAATCTGTAAAATGGGGATGGACAGCACTGCCTTATCTCAGGTGTGTTATGGGGTTAAATACATTATTGTCAGGTGCTCACGTACTACAGAGGGACATATACATTACCAAGATGAATAAGGGAAACTATCCTCCTCCTGAATCAGTTCCACTTCTTGCAGCATCACCTGTTGTTTGGGGAGTCTCCGATTCAAATCGTGAGTAGTGCAGCCATGGTTAGGTAGTGAGATGCAGTGGATCAGATCAAATGAGACTATGGCTGCAAGCAGATGGTAAGAAACCCCCCCCCCCC